TTTAGAGGGTTGCTAAAATAAGCGCGTTCAAGGAGATAAACAAAAGTTTAGTATTCCTTATTTTGATAGGCCAGTAACCATTGAGACACTCTTTATAATTTGAAAATTATCATGGTTTAGAGTGTTTTGTTTCAGCTAATGAAGAAGTTAATTGTTTTGATATTGCCAAAAAAATTGGTTTATTAGTTAGAAATATTTTAAAAAGGAAAACAGAGAAATTTTGTGACCCAGTGTGCACAAGACGTATTTTAAACCTTTAAAATACGTTTTAATTAGTTTTAATACGTGTTTTAGATATTTTACACACGTCTTATGCCCGCTGGGGATATGTGGATTATGTTGGAAGAACTTGCAGTAGGTTAAAGTGAAAATAACATTTTTCAGAAGTTTAACTTTTCTCCCTGTTTTTTATATTACCTATAAGAAAACTAAAAAAACGAGACCAAAATGAGCAAAATTAGACATTAATTACCCCTTGTTTCAGTTTTTGACTAATACTACATATTATTGGCAGCAAAAATTTGAAATTAAATTTTATTATAAAAATTGTAGACTAAAAAATTAAGATGAGGAATTACCTCCTCCAGCAATTATTGGCCAAACAAGAAATTTTTTTAGAAATTTCAATATTTTAAATTTTTTATTCCAAATATTGATTTGTAGTATTCTTTTTAAATTTATTACTTCTAGTTTATTAACAATTTAATTTAAAGGAGTTGAACAGGTGAATTTATTACTAATATTAAAATACATAAAGCAAAAAATATTATTAAACAGTGTTGTAATGTGCCTTGGTATTAAATATTGGCATACTTATTCTTGAATGCAGACGGACACGTATTATACCATCTCTATTTATTTCGCCGCAAACAGAGGCAGAAACAACTGTCACCATCGTTACACAACGTTCTACAGCTTCCATGTGGCACGGTAACTTATCAAAAAGATTTTTTAGTTGAAATGCAATTATCTTTTGCTTTTCTCAGTTCCTCATTAGTGAGCTAGTAGTGGCTCTGTCCACTGTGTATTACTCCAATCAATCAACTCCCGTGTATTCTTGGCCATGAAATTGAGAGTCGGAACTTAGAGTTGCCGCACACTAGAATGATTAACATTCATACTTCTTTTTTCTCTAGCTCTCTGTATACGCTTATCACCTGATTCTCGGATTTGTAGCTGCTCATCTAATATCGTTGCCAGAAGAATATTTTCTTAATGACCAAAGAATACATTTGTTTACTACTTTGTCTACTACTTTACGTAATACATCTGGCAGAGACCGTGATTTGACTATTGTGAAGCAAAGATGCTGCCATGAAAAATAGAAGACTTTTTCTTGATAATAAATTACATAGGGGCAAAAACGCACATAATATATGTTGCTATAGTTACAAAGTTTGATTAAAGACTGGTGGTAGAAATATATAATCTGAGAATCCTGTCGGCAGTGGTGAGCCATCTAGAATGAGCCAGTTTTCCAGGACTGCGTTATTTGAGATTGACAGAACAAGTGGCATTTAGTACAGCCTGACAGATCTGTCAAAAAGTTAAAGCTGATCTAAACTAAGCGTTTTTCTCTCCGTTTCATGCATTTCTACATTATGGTTTATAGGTTGAAAATCAATAACATATAAGATTCATACGTTTCAAGGGACTTTCCAATAAAACCCAAATAGTATCTAGAACCAGATGTTGCTCCATCCAATTCTGAAAAAAATGACGTAGTGGAAGCTCACGTGCATGTAACAAACAAATTACTCATTGTAAAAGCCGTTGGAGTTCTAAGTCAATCAATCTAATCACAGTACCCTTGTCTCCAGTGTTTATATTTGTTCTATAAGAACCAAGCACTTGGAAATTATCCAAAATGATATTGTCCCAAGCAGCAAACAATATTGACGCAATATTGGCGCGATATTGTCTACAATATTGGCGCAATATTGTAAACTATATTGCGCCAATATTGCAATGTCAACATTTTGCCAATATTGGCCAATATTAGCGGTACAATATTGCGCCAATATTGTTAAGTCAATATTGGCCAATATTGGCAAAATGTTGACATTACAATATTGGCGCGATATCGTTTACAATATGGCACAATATTGTAAATACAATACTGGCCAATATTGACGTAATAAAGTTATATTGTTTTTAGTGTTAAACAATAAAATGTTATTTTTTTAAATTTTTTTATTTATTTGCCAGAATATCTACAAGGTAAATTTACATTGAATATATTACCGGCAGGGCTTCTAGAAGATCACAGTTCTATTTAATATGTAAAATAAATACAAAAAAAGTGGGCGTTTAAATGGATCAAAAATACAATACAATATTCTATCTAATATGTAAAATACAAAAAAAAAATTATATATAAATAAATACAATGTTATACAATAATATATTATATCAGGTAGAACATTTTATATTTTTATATTTATATATACTTTTTGTATTTATTTTATATATTAGATAGAACATTTTATTTATTACATTTGAAGATAGAACAAGATAATACAGAGGGGATGAATTGTTTAACCCGAAAGAATAATGCAGCCTATAGTCTATACTATATTTTTGTATATAGTTTAGACTATAATTGTATATAACTTGAGTTATAGTCTAGAAGGCGATAATAATCTAGGAACGCTTTGAAAAAATGAAACTTTTTAAAATCTAATAATAAATTTATTAAAAGTTATATTAAACTGATACAAATGAATATAAATATAAATATATATATATATATATATATATATATATATATATATATATATATATATATATATATATATATATATATATATATATATATATATATATATATATATATATGTATATATATATATATATATATATATATATATATATATATAATATATATATATGTATATATATATATATATATATATATATATATATATATCTATATCTATATATATATCTATATATATATATATATATATATATATATATATAATATATATATATATATATATATATATATATATATATATATATATATATATATATATATATATATATATATATATATATATATATACATATATATATATATATATATATATATATATATATATATATATATATATATATATATATATATATATATATATATATATATATATATATATATATATATATATATATATATATATATATATATATATATATATATATATATATATATATATATATATATATATATATATATATATATATATATATATATATATATATATATATATATATATATATATATATATATATATATATATATATATATATATATATATATATATATATATATATATATATATATATATATATATATATATATATATATATATATATATATATATATATATATATATATATATATATATATATATATATATATATATATATGTTTATATAATATATATATATATATATATATATATATATATATATATATATATATATATATATATATATATATATATATATATATATATATATATATATATATATATATACAGCGTTACACTCTCACTCTCAGATAGTTGGCATTGATTTTCATTATCTTGGCGACATTCATTTTCATCGCTCAATAGTGGGCTTTTCTCTATTGCGGTTCTATTTTTTCTTCCGCCTTCTCTATCAATGGCCGTTGCCAGAAAGCTGCCGATTCTTTCTTTTATGCTTTTGTCATTAGCGTTTTCAAATTTAGCGTTTTTTTATGGCAGCTGCAAACAAGTTTTAAGTTGATAATGTTAAACAAGACATGAACAAAATGTAATCAAAAAATATCAAACTTATTAATTCAACTAAATACGAAAATAAATAGTTAAATAAATTACCTATAACCACCTTGCACCTTGTAAGAGGCGAAAATGATTTCTTTTGTTTCCTGCCATACATAGAGTACAACAAGCATACTTTTTTAGCCTTTAGTTGTTTTAAGATAGCCATGGTAAGTTGCTTGTAATCGTCGCCTCCAACCGATGCAAGGAAGTTCATCTAAAACAACAACATAAAAAAAATCGAGTTTGTTTATTATTATATTCAAAAATATATAATTTGTTGTAATAAAAGTTTAATGGTTCTATAAATGTGTGTATTTCGAACAGGTTTTCATAATGTTACAACTTCATTATCTATAATGAGATATTCAAATATGAAACGGAGAAAAAGCAATTTGTTACAAATAGATGCAATCTCTGAGGTCAACCTGTTTTGGTGATCAAGACGTTTGTCATAAATGTTTTATAAAGTGATAAAAACACTAGGAAGAATACCACACAAAATTTTATACAGGTTTATGAGCTTCTCATACCCCTACCAATAATTACACAATATATTGTGTAAAAAATCTGATACTATAGTATCAGATTTTTTATTCACTAGCATAGGTTGTCTTTACAACAGCAAAAAAATCGGGGTGAATACAATCTCAAGTATCTAATGTGAGGCTTTCTATTATTAGTAGACTCATTGCTCTACTAAATGAGTAAACTGGGCATAAATGGTTAAAACCACAACACAATTTAATAAATATACTGTATATAAAGCATTCTTTTCCGTATCTTAATTAAAATCAAATGTATAGTATATTTTATACTATACATTTATTTTTATCTTTGTTCCGTAACTTGTCATCGAGGTCTAGAAGTTCTTTTTCCTCTTTAACAGGCAAATAATTCCATTTAACTGATGGGGATGGTCCTGCTATGCTCTGATTGCTAACAGAAGGAAACACTAAACCTTTTTCTAAATTGATAAGCCAAGTGTTTAACTTTTTCAAATCATATTGAATACTGACAAGAAACTCTAAACTTTTCTTCTCAAATGCTGCAATAAAAAAATAATTCTGACTTTAATAAATACCAATTAAATAGATTAGCTTTTTATTAAAGTTAACGCAAAAACTAAGAAAAAAATAGTATAATTACATTCAAAAATATATTAAAGAGTACATTTAATTAAACCTTCAAATAAATAACCCATCAAGGTAATCCTTTACCAGGAAATCAGGTGCCTAAAGCAGCCACAACAGCTTCCAAGCTCTGATCAGAAGAGGAAAATATCAGTAGAGAACGATTCGAACTAAATAGCTCAATATATTGAACAGTTGTGGGTTGTAAAATATTTTGGCAATTAAAAGATTTCTTCAATCTTGGGGAAACTGATGGATATGTCTCCTCAGTGTCAATTGTATTACAAACTGCTAACTTTTTAGCTGGTGGCATGGACAATTTTTCATCGCTATTAGCAGCTGTTTCAACGCTTGATGTGAACTCTAACATTTCCATTTGTTCTACAGCAGTTTCATAACTGTATAAAAAATTTAAAGAAAAGATAAATATAGCTGTTCAGATCATTAGCATCTAGCATGTGTGTAACATAAAATTAAGCAAGGAATAAAAACATAATAACGACACTTACCAGAATAATAAAGAACTCTTATTTTTAGCTGTTTCCAGTTACTTACAGGAGTAAGTGTTACTTCGCGTATGGCAGTTAAAAGGCGAAATGATCGCAAGTGATTTGGCCAACGCACTAAACTTTTATTGATCAGCCATGACAAACAGATAACGTCCATGGCACACATGCTTTTTTTTTCATCAAGAAATTCAACTACAGCAAATTTTTTAAACTTTGCTTCCATCTTCATTTTTACTGTACAACATGTGTATAAAAAAAAACATAAACAAATTTGAAAAAATAAAAAAAAACAAGCGTAAAAAAAAAAAAAAAAAGTTTTTAGTTTAGTGGTTCCACACTTGTGTGTAGTGAGTGACTGGGGCCCCAGCCCAAGCCAAAGTTGGGTCTTTTTACAACCCCAGCCACAGCTAAATAATAGTTTTAGTAGGAGTTATAAGATGAGGCTAGGAATTTTTTTTTATGGTATTTTATTTTTTAAGCTATAAAAGTTAAATAATATAATAATAATAATCTATAAAAAAATCTATAAAAAGCTATAAAAGTTATAAAAAAGCTATAAAAAAAGTTAAAAAAAAAGCTATAAAAAAGTTAAAAAAAAGCTATATAAGTTAAATAATATCTATAAAAATATCTATAAAAAGCTATAAAAGTTAAGTAATCTGTTATGAAAGGTAAAAAATATAGGAAATTCACAAATAATATATAAATATATATATAGATTCAGGATCCCATATATTGTAATAGTTTAAATTAGGTGGTACAAAGTCTTCAGGAGCCCCACATAAATATGTAGTATATGAAAGTACTCTTAAATTGTATTTTAAAAAAAGAAGTGTTTCAAAATTTTTTGTTTTGAGTATAATACGTTCTTGTTGTATTGATTTCAAAACTTTAAACTCACATTCACTTGTAGTTGGGGTTGGAAGTGAATTTATATTTTTTTTATATTTATATTTAATTATAAATATAAAATAATATAAAATTTAATAATAAATAACATTTTAGAAAGAATTTAAAATCAAAAGTTGTTTATTTAAAATAAAAATAATTATTCTAATATAAAAAAGAATAGCCTTTATAAAACTCTTACAGTTTTAAATTTTGTTATAACTTTTGTATTACTTTTACATGATTATTTAATATTATCATTTTTATTACTATTATTATTGCTATTTTATATTATTATTGTTATTATTATTTCAATCAGCCAAATAATCATAAGAATTTTTATATAAACATATTATGATAAATAACTCATCACTGAAGTTTATTGCAGTTTCGCAGTTAAGTAACTCAATTGTATTTTTAGCATCACTTAATCTTTTAATATAATGTGATTTAGCAGATCAACTTATTAGTTATTTTTTTGAAATAAACCAATCATGCAATACATAAGTTTGCTTTTTCTGTAAACTTTAAACTTAGTTTTGCAAGATTTGCAGTGGGTAAACTTCGTGCGACCCACACAGTGTACCCAGCGGACATATTGTATAGTTTAGTAAAAAACGTATTTTAATAACTGGTAGCTCATATGTTGGGGGTAAAATAAGAAAACTTTTTTGGGTTTTTTCGTTCCCAAGCTTTGAGCGCCGTAATTATTTTGAAAAATACTTTTATTTAAGATAACCATAATCTTATTTAAACTTGGAGTTTGCACTTTGGCTGAAGTCTTATACAGTATTGGTCATAAATAATAATTATTATTTATGACCAAAATGATATTAAAAAAAACATGCTGGATTAATCCAGCATGTTTTTTTTAATATCATTTGACTTTGATTGATATTAAATCAATGATTGTTTGACTCCTAATATAAAAAGTGTATATTTATGAGCATTCTATTTTCTTTTAAATAAATGTAGATATTCATAAAAATACTATTTGATGTGCTAATTATATTGCTTTTGACATAATCTAAAATAATTGTAATGGCGTAATTTAACTATCAACTTTATTATTTCAAACTTTCTTCAAAATTTTGTTTGTCTTTGCAATAATTCAAAGATAATGACAATTTTTTTTTTTATAAAAAATAACATTATAATGGAAATTTAAATTCTAGTTCAAACTTGAAATGTATAAAAATATTAAATGAACAATAAATATAATTAAGCAGAATATATTAAATTCTGCCTAATTATATTTATTACTTATTTAATATTTTTATATCTTTTTTATAGTTTGAACTAGAATTTAATTTTCCATGGTAATGTTATTTCCTATTAAAACAAGTTAGCCTAACTTGAAAAAGGGGACATGTTATGTGAATTTTTGCAGGGCATGTCACCTTTTTCAAGTTAGAGATTCATATGTTAGTTCATTTATCTAAAGTTAGAGATTCATATGTTAGTTCATTTATCTAAAGTATTTCTGTGGTTACAAGAAATATTTAAGAAAGTAAGAAATAAATTTAGACAGTTAAAACTTAAATGTATATTTTTATAATGATAATACATAAGTCATAATTTTTATGCTTTTTTAAGTTAACATTTGGCCGATAAAATACTTTTTTGTCGGCCAAAAAATTTTTATGGACTGTTTTGGACCATATGCTCATAATTTTAACTCAGAAATGCAACAGAATATAATGTTTATGAGATTTTGTGTAAAACATACTTTGGAGCGGAAAGGTTAAGAGCATTGACACACAGAACAAGATGATTAGAATTTTAGTCTAGGAGATTAAATCCAAAAACCTTTTTATGGTAAAAAAGGCAAAATACTATTCTATTGTTTTAAATTGTACATCAGACGTTTGACACAAAGAACAAATTAATATTATTATGCGATCTTTAACATGAACTGGTGAAGTAGGTATTAACAAAAATTTCTTTGGATATATCACAGTAAATGATACCACTAGAAAAATGATTTCGAACCAGTTTTTAAATCAGGCAAATAACTGGGATCTAAACATTTTGGACTGTCCAGAAGAATCTTATAATAATGGTGCTAATCTAAAAAGAAAAGTGAATGCTGTTTAAATTAGGTTTCTGGAAATAAATCCAAAGGCCTTATATGTTTCTTGAGCAAACAATTCATGCAATCTTGTTATTGCTGAAGGTGCACTGTCATCCATCAGTACAATTTCTATATTTGGTGTTCTTTCAATATTATATACATTCTTCTCAACGTCTCCAACTCGATCGGAACTTTTAACATCGTGCTTGGCGGGATTTTAAAATATCTGTCGAAACACAATCAGATATCAAAAGGGAAATTAGAATAAACTGTGTTAATTTGCTTCAATATTATTTAAAAGAACTAATAGAGGCACTCAACAGGTTTAAAAAAAATAGATCGCAAAAGAGAGACGGGAAAACAGCCACAGAAGTGTATTAAATCATTAAGTGTATTGAAGCCTTTCTTATTATCAGTTATTATTTGGTATGACGTTCTATTTCAAATCAAAAAATCAAAAAAGCTTCGTTTGTCTTCTGCAACTTCTTTCGACATATTGGCTTATGAAATAAAAGCAGCAAATACATTTCTTTTATGACTATCGCGAAAACAGATATACCGACACGCGTATTTAAGCACCAAAAATTATGAATAGGTTTTTCCTATTGTGCGTTATGAATAGGTTTTTCCTATTGTGCGTTCACATAAAAAAATTCGATTTATTTGTTCGGGTGTGTTAATCACACTCGGCAACCTGAAAATTAGTATAAATCAGGTTTATTTTCCCCACTAGTTGATATGTTAATTGCATCAGTAATAGAGCGTTTTAAACAGATCAGGATTGTCACAAAACGTGATGACTTTTTTTACCAATCTGAGAAACTTATCAAAGCCTGTAATAAAAATTTTCTGTCTGTATATAGCCAAAGTTTGGAATGAAGCTTGATGATATAGATTCTTAAGATTTGGAATTAGAGTTAAAATGATTTATCATAGTTATAAAGAATGAAAAAAGTACTCTCATAAAATCTATACATGACTTCTTAAACTAAATCTACAAAGAAGAGCTTAAAGAAACCTATCCCAATTTAGTTATTTCGTTATAATCCTAATTTTAGCAGTAATTGTTACAAGTGCAGAACGTAGCTTTAGCAAATAACTTTCGATGAAAACTTTGAATGGAAGTTTTACATCCAATCCATTTAAAGTTCAACTTTATCAAAATAACTCCACACTTCAGTGCAGAAGTAGAGTTAGAAAAAGTCAATTTGCACAAAAGTTTGCAAAATAACTCCACACTTGTGTTTAGAAGTGACAGCTACAACCCGTTGTGGAAGTTTTCATCAGCATTAAATATATATTGTTGAATATGTATCAAATATAATTGTATCAGCATACAAACATTTTTTTTGATTTTATATATTTAAATCAAAAATGACTTTTAAATATAAAAGTCATTATTTGATAAAAGTAATAACGTTTTTTATGAATATTTTATTTATTGTTAATAAACACGGAAAATATGTAAACGGGCTCTATGATGAGACAGTCATTGTTTTCTTCTTGCTACGACCAATTTTTATATATTTAAAATGTAAATATAAAGATTAAAAAAATGAAAATTAAAATAAATTAAATCTTTTCATAGGTTAACATAAATAACCTTGCTTTTTTATTCGTAAATACACGTAGCTATTCTTTGTATCTTTAAATAGGTCAACAATAGTCGGTGAACGATTGTCTTCCTTAGAAATGCAATCGATTGAGGATAAGATTGTAAGGAACTAATTAATGAAGGCATAATAAATGAGCTTGCAAGCATGAAAACAAGTTTCAAACCCCTTTTTTGATGGTTTGCAACGTACTTGTATAATCTGCTTTTTACCTTAAAAGAAGGCATCTGATATGAGACTTTATTATGTATTTATATTAAAAACATCTGAAAATACGATCTCTCTTAATGCAAACATTTATTTTCGCAACTTTGTCTAAACTGGCTTATCACATGTCAAAGGTTAAGACTAAGATAATATTTTTATTTGCAATAAATTCAAGAATTGTTACAAGAGACTGGTGGGTATTACAGGATTATCTTGTATATATTTGAGATATTTCTTTGTTTTAGACGTCAAAAAAAAAGTTAATAATTTTTTTTTAACAAAAAAGTTGCTCGATTAATTGATTTAAAATTTTTTTCAAAACCACGTTTAGCAGTAAAAGATATATGACGTCTATTAGAAGTTCATAAAAAAAAAAAAAAAATTCTTGGTGAGTTCAAATATGGAACCCAGTAGGCATTGGTTTTTAAAAGTTACGTTCTAAATGTATTTTAAATGTCTTTTAAAGGTCTTCTAAATATCTTACTTATAAAACGTTTAAAAGACATTTAGAACAAAACTTTTAAAAACAATTGCCCGTAAGGAATACTTTTAGTATAAGGTTTATTTGTAACGGTAAACGACATCAGATTTTGTAACCTGGGCGTTATTTTGTTTATACACATTATATGTATTTTTGCGTCACGTCTGAAAATATC